AAGTAAAAATTGTTTCTGAAGAAATGTAAAAATCCTTAACGTCAACCCCTGCAGATGGTACCTGCCGATACTGTACAGCCAGGTTTCGGGTATCAGGGCCAAAAATGGCATCAGCATAACACAATCCAGTGCTGATTGCCAGCATATCTAGTGCTGATTGCGGTGTTCCCAAAGCTAAGGCAGATGACTACTTTCTTTCTCTGTTGCCAGCGCCAAAGTCTCAATTCCCGGTGCTGACCACTCAGTTACTGATGCTAGCCTATCATTCATGTAGGGAATGGATATAGCCTACTGTGTTGAGGACATAGGCACCACTGGGTGCCAATATACTCCACATCATGAGGAGTTAGCTGAGGTGGCCTATTCTCTATTTCAGACGCCTCTTTCTGAAAGTGTTCCAGGCATGTTCCACGCAGCATAGCTGGTAGTTGCATCTGTCGCCAAAGATGTTTTTTTTCCTGCACACTAAGATGTATTAAATCTGGTAGACCTGCATAATTTGGCATGTACTCAGCCGTGTGATGCTCTACCACAGGTACAGCCTGACATGGCCAGGCATGCTAAACCAGTCTGCTCAGGTTACCTTATCTCATTCCTTTTACCAACCAACCTAATTTCCTGAACATAAGAAGACAAAATCAGAAAACCCTCATTTTACAAGTGGCTCAAGAAAGCCTGAGACTTTAGACACTAAAAACAAACATTTAATAAATATTAACACTTATAAATATTGTGTATCCTTTCAGGGTTTCCTCTAGGATGTTTTTTAATGTTGAGGCACACACAATGGCATATAAGGACATTTTCACATGGTTTTGGTTTCATCTGTTTACCAGGAAAGGAAAAAAATTACAATTAAGTCTACAGAAAGAACCACCAGGGCTTACCTTCCATTCATCCTGGATGTGTACTGATGTAGAGTCAAAAATAGGTCCCCTAACATCTTTGACGACCCCACACATCCAAAAATGAAACTGTAAAGATAGTTTCATTCAGGTCGCAACTAAAGAGCACCATTCCTATAACCCAGCTGTCACAGAACAGTTTCTTCCCCACTGCTTTCTCTAGTAAAGACAATCCTATCCAAAGGTGTTTTTTTTTTTATCATTATTATCTAGCCTTTATTTAACAATTTAGAAGACAATGAATTAAGACATCTTTCATAAGGATGACCTGGCTAAGAAAGGCAGGAGCGCACATCATAATAGACAGGAGAGACGACAACAATAAAAAAAACCATTCAAAAAATTTATGAAGATTTGTTTGCAGCCATCATCTTGTCGTTTGCTTTAAGAAAAAAGCACAATATGGCCACTATAAAGGTTTTAAATGACTGTTAAGCCTTAGATACAAATGATCTACTGTGCTGTCTTTTACATTAACCTGTCTTATCTTTGTTCATGTTCTTTGCAGCCATATCTAAAAGCTGTTCATTTTTTTTTATGAGATAGCGCTGGTACACTGCAAGGGTTCCATTTTTGGACATTATTAGTTTCTTATAATTGTGTCGGGGAAAATTTCACTGATGTTCATAAATGTTGCTGCCATGAAGACAACTGACTGCATGTATCCCTTAGAAATAGGTTGGAGCTTTATGGTTATCACAGGGTATGATTCCCTGTTTCATCACTCTTAGATTCTCATCTCAACTGGTCATCATTTTAAATCTGTAGGATCATAAATAGCCGAATTTTCATCTATAGCTAACTGACCTTTAGTTGTAACCACCTGACTTATTCATCAACCGTCACTTAAGACAGTTCTGCCAAAGTCATCACTTTAAGGGCTTAATATAATTCAGTGTTTGGTTAATATGCTCAGAACTTAGAAAAAAAACGTACTTTGGTAAACTGCCCTGTCAACTTGGAACACTCTATGGAAGAAGCTGAAACTATCCCCACCGATTCCTCTGGGACAAATGAAATTTATTTTCATAGAAAAAGAGAAATTTTCCCATAACCTGCTCTTGTTTTGAGATCATGTTTTATCAGCTTATTTCATTTGAGTAAAATGTTTCAATTGTTTGTCATCGTTGCTGTATTTGTAACCTTTTTGTTCTTGTTTTATCCAAACTGGTCTCTTTTGAAACTTATATTTCAGATTTTTCAAGACAAACTGTAAAGATAAAGCCTAAATAATAATGAAATTAAATAAAAATAAAATTCTGGTTATGAAAGGCTAAACAACCAGGGTCTTTTTTTTATGATGAAGACCTGTATGTGAACACTAACAATATATATTTAGAGCAGTTTGCTACTATTTGACAGACATACCGTAAAATAACGTGGGTTAATGTTAAAACTATTTCACAACTTTGCTTATTTTAACTAAAAAAAACTCAAATGCCACAGTGAAGTCCTCTCATTGCCATAAATGTATTTATGTTTTTTTTCAGTTTGGCCTCCAATTGCTCTGACTGTAGTTCTGGTGGCTTCAGCGACTCTGTGTAAGGAGCAGGGAATTACTGTGGTCGGTGTCTGTTGCGTCTATGAAGTTTTTGTTGCACAGGGGGTAAGTTTTCTTAAGCCTTCTTTCCTCATATTGGTTCCTCCAAAAAGACACAGCACTTATTTTATGCATATATAGCAATAAAGCTAGGTGTGGAAATGTGCAATAGAGAAAAAAATCAGTTAACATCACCTTCGAGTTTTTTAAAGCAGCAACTACAGCTTTTTACTGCAACGTTTACTATTTGCTTGTTTACACTGGGCTGATTTCCTGTACATACTCTCCTGTGAATTCTCGATCTCATGCGGCTGGTGGTCCATAGAAGGACCCTCAAAGCCAGGGGTGTTGAACCCATTTTTATATCAGGCCACATAAGCATCATCTGGGTTTTAAAAAAGGCCAGCTGGAGCTCCATAAATGAAACTTCTGGTTTTATATTTTCTTTTATAAAGAGCTGTTCTGGTTCTGTGAAAATAAAGTACCGGTAAAAGAAAAAATCATGACATCACCCATTGAGGTACTGCAACATGGCATGGCCCTTACCAAAATAATTATAAAACAACTCTTTGTTTTTTCTTTTACTTTTATATTTTTCACAATTCTAATATAGCTATTGATAATAGTAAGACACAGTCTTGTTAATTTGGTTGGACGTTTAATTTCCTCTTTAAGATCTCACATTGCTTATAACGATTGATAGAAGAGATGGCTTGAATTTGCTGCTCCTCTCTCTTGTCCTAGCTCCAGCTCTTTGTTGGTGCCTCCTTTTTAACTCAGCTGGTGTTTTTTGAAGTAATTGAAAAAAATTTCGCTTTAAAGATATTAATGCGGTGCCTCTGGGTGTTTAAAGAAAGCTAACTTTTTATGGTTGCTACAATTACAGACAGTTATGTCCAAACAGGGGTAACAAAGAGAAAAAAAAAATAACCTCTTTAAATATGGAGATGAACTTGACCTCTCTTCGTCCTGTTATTTTTCCTTTCTAGTTTACACTGCCCATACTACTGGATACTTTGCGGCAAGTCCTGCAGGGTAAAGATGGTTTCCCTTATGCTGTCCTGCAAACTCTTCTGAAGCTCATCGTCCTCGTCATCAGCACCCTGCTCCTCGTTATTGTCAGGGTTCAAGTTATCCAGTCCCAGCTGCCTGTCTTCACCAGGTAGGCATGTTTTACAAGGAAACGCACAAATCAGGAACTGATAATATAATTACATTTAATGAAAATTAACTTTGAATAACTTTGAACAGGAAACTTTCCTTTTTTTTCACTTCAGTAAGACTTTTAGGTGAGTTGTGTAATATGAATAAATTCTAATGTGTTCTGTGGGTAATGCGCAGTTTGAGTAAGTATATTCAGACAATAAATGCCACTGTAATTAATATTAAGGCCACTGTTTGCATGTTTATGGATTTCAGGAACCTATAAACACATTATACTCGTGTGGGTCACCATTTAATTCAGACTGCATTATGATTTATAGATGGTCTGTTTTCATTTCATTGGGAGGTCCTGCTGCTTTTTCAGAGCATTCCTCTTAGTGGATGTGGCTAATGGTTCTGTATTCCGTTATTTTAATTTATTCATTTTTCCTTTCTCCCTTCCGTCCTTTTACTATACCTGCGTGGTTTCGGTCAGGTTTAAATGCAAGTATTATTCTTCATAGATCCCTGGTAAGTCCATATATCTAAGGTTTAATCTGTAGACATGGTTGAAAACAAAGTATTGTGAGATGTGAGTCTGCATCGGTGGCAGGGTGGCAGTAATAACATCAACCAGGAACACGTACAATTACTATATGCTTTGATCCTCTTGTGGTTAGAAGCACTCCCCTTCAATAATGGGAGAGGAAACTGACAACTAAACAAGCTCACATGCCTATAAATGTCAAAATAACAAATTTCACAGGGCAGACATAAACAGACTGATTTTTTATGGCATATGTAATGATACATGGACTCTAAAGCATACCATGTGCTTAAAGAATAAGCTACTTGCAGCAGCAGTAACAAAGACAAACTACTTACCGTATTTTCACGACCATAAGGCGCACCGTACCGAAAGGCGCACTCTCAGTTATGTGTCCCATTTCTGTATTTAACACA